GTGCTACATTTTCAATCTGTTCTTGTAAAAGTAGAGCATAGCAGGAGGAGTCAAATACTTAGTGGAGTAGTACAGGGGACCAAATATTTTTAGAGAACGAATTAGTATAAATCAGGCTTTCAAAGAAATGACAAATGTTAATTGAATTTCTTAGAGAAACCATTGTCATTAGAAAACTTTGTGAAGTTTAATTTCATCATATTTTTGATAGCATACTATTTTGTAAACTCGTATAAAATAATAATTGACAATGCTTCACCTAAGAAATTTGAATCCTATTAATACTACTAGTAATAAAGCATATTTAAGTAAGCAGGACAGATGAGAAATAAAGAATAAGTCTTGAATAAAAAGCAAGAGAAATAAGATGAAAGAAATACTAGTCCAAAATGAATAATAGTTGACAATGCTTCACCTAAGAAATTTGAATCCTATTAATACTACTAGTAATAAAGCATATTTAAGTAAGCAGGGCAGATTAGAAGTAAAGAATAAGCCTTGAATAAAAAGCAAGAGAAATAAGATGAAAGAAATACTAGTCCAAAATGAATAATAATTGACAATGCTTCACCTAAGAAATTTGAATCCTATTAATACTACTAGTAATAAAGCATATTTAAGTAAGCAGGACAGATGAGAAATAAAGAATAAGCCTTGAATAAAAAGCAAGAGAAATAAGATGAAAGAAATACCAGTCCAAAATGAATAATAATTGACAATGCTTCATCTAAGAAATTTGAATCCTATTAATACTACTAGTAATAAAGCATATTTAAGTAAGCAGGACAGATGAGAAATAAAGAATAAGCCTTGAATAAAAAGCAAGAGAAATAAGATGAAAGAAATACTAGTCCAAAATGAATAATAATTGACAATGCTTCACCTAAGAAATTTGAATCCTATTAATACTACTAGTAATAAAGCATATTTAAGTAAACAGGACAGATGAGAAATAAAGAATAAGCCTTCAATAAAAAGCAAGAGAAATAAGATGAAAGAAATACTAGTGAAAAATTAATAATTGACAAAGCTTCATCTAAAAAATGTCCCTCTTTCTTAATCAAAGGAACAACAAAATGTTATCTTCTGTGTCTTCAATCTATTAACATATGTGCTGACCTACTGAGGAAAGGGGTGTACATTTGGTTAGTTTAGGTTAGCTTGCTTATTTTAATATAATTGTTAACTGCTGTAACTGCTCGACATATTTGGGATGGATATTAGAATAATCCAGAAACAACACTCACCCAGTACATAGTACACACTCTTTTCCTTCCCTTCCACTTACAATCTTCCAAAATGTAAATACAATGTAATTTACAATCTTCTGTCTTCCTGAAACCTGTTCTTTTATTGTCCTTTCTCTTCACTAAAGTCTTCTCATTCTCTTTCATTCCCAGTAACACCTTGCGTCTAAGTGGCATTATCGCCATTTTCTGTCTTCCTGAAACCTGTTCTTTTATTGTCCTTTCTCCTCATTAAAGTCTTCTCATTCTCTTTCACTCCCAATAACCCCTTGCACCTTAGTGGCGTTAAAGCTTTGCTCGAGTTGAAATGATTAAAAAAAAACAAAAAAAAAAACAAAAAACAGCGAAAATATCCAAAGATATTGATGGATAAATGAGGATTAGTATAAACACATAACAGGATATATTATTGGTGGACATAAATCTTAACAATATAAGATACCGTGCTGACTCAGAAGGACACTGAAAATATTCTAAGTAAAAATACGAATGGAAAACCAACATTAATGATTAACCGGTCAGAAGATGAAATACAAAATCGTCACCAGAAGAGGTCGCCAAATTGTTAAACGTCTAAATAAATTTAACTATCTAGTTTAACCCTGACATATTTGGGAATAGGATATTAGAATAATCAAGAACTTATTCTGGGATCAAACCTGCATACGGATAGAAAATGAATTCAGTAAATAGACAAAAATAGAAAGCTGAATAAGGTAAGGATATGTTGTGAAATCTCCCACAACACAACCAGCCTTACCTCTTTGTAGGAAATGCACTCTTCCTATCTGGTAAGCCAAATTCTACTTTCAGACAATATAACAAGTATTCATTGGTCAATCACCTCCAATCTGGCTTTCTGATTGGTCAGTTCCGACCAATCAAACCGCCTGCACGCGACCAAGCTGTTTTCCCGCTCATATGCTGCGAGCCACTCAGCCATTATAAAAAACCGAACACGTGTGAACCTTTCGAGTGGTAATTACCAAGTTTCAAGATGTAACCTTCACCGGCTCCCGTCTTAGTCATTGCTGACCAGACGTTAAAGACAATTACCAACTTTAGACAGTCAGACCTCCACACCTAGAGAGATGCCCATCAACTCCACGCCACTCTAAACTCTGACTTGGCCGCGTAAAAATATTCTCTGACTCAGCAACCTTCGCGCACACTCTATCTCTCTCAAGAACATTTCTCAAACAGTTTAATTCTGTGAACAAATCTAATCAATACCTGCAAACGCACCCAAACATTCACAATAACACAATACACAATAAAATATACTAATCCTCATTTATCCATCAAATCTTAAACCCACAGTATATTAAATTGTATATAAATTGATGTTATTGTTATGCATTCGACTTTTGTCTTGTTTTCAATTTTATTTGCATGATTTGTTTCAAGTATTTGTTCTAAATAATTGTTGTGGGCGAATTTTGTAGAACACGGCCTCGAAATTCCTTCTGACCAATTTAAACACAATCACCAGTCTGCAACAATGTCTTCTCAAGAGACTTATTCAACCATATACAGCAAAGCGATTTCGAGAGAATTATAAGTGCTACCAGGAGTTATTATTGGCGGTCACAATCTTAACAACATAATATATGCAGAAGGCACAGAGTTGATAGCAGACAAAGAAAAGAAGATGACAAAAAGAACTCCTACAAAAAATAGTGAAAGAAAGCGAGAAGAAAAAACTTACAAAAATTTTATTGTTTATTACTGTTCGTCTTTGTGGTTTAATCGTCTCGGTTGAGTTTTTTTCGTACATGTTCTTTTGAGAGAAATGTAGATGGTTTGCGTAAAAAAAATGTTACATATGTTTATCTTTTTTATGCTCAGCGGTTAAAATCGCCAAAATTGTTAAAGATCCATTGTGAGAATTTCTTCTCACACAGTTCAACCCTTGGCAGAGACAAGAAAGACATACAATCAACAAGGCCTACCTTAAAACTTAAAACAAATTTTATTGTATCCTTGCAAAAAAAAAAAAAGATTTTGCCCTTTTTTGCCCCTGGGAACAGGGTGGGGTAGTTCTTCAATGAATAGTTAGTGTCTTTTACTTCAGTAGGACTCAGTTGGTCTCTACGAAGTTGGAGAAGCTGGAAATTGCTGGTCGTTGCTGGAGCATTACCATTTCGGTTGCTGAAGTTGAAACTCGGCTCTTGTCGAGATCATGCATAAAGTTCTTCGTGTAAACGTACACATTTGACGACAGTCAATAAATGACTGAATTATACAGCCTTGAAGTATGAAGCTGGGACATGACGTCGTCTCTGAAGCATTACCATTTGGTTGCTGAAAAGAATCATTGCCTAATTATTTAGGCTTGATCTTGGGCGCTAAAGGCCCTGCAAAGATATTCAAAAATGAGTCCTGACATTTCCAATAATATGCCGCAAGTGGTTGAAAGGAATCTTAGCCTAATTATTTAGGCTTGATCTTGGGCGCTAAAGGCCCTGCAAAGATATTCAAAAATGAGTCCGGACATTTCCAATAATATGCCGCAACTAAGTCAAAAGGGCACGGGCCGTTGAAAAATGCCCGCGAAAAAACCCAGTCAAAATTCGACCAATGAAATTGGTCGTTACAAATCAGCCAATAGGAGCTTAAATTGCAGAATTTCTCACACCATTTCAAATTTATGGAAAATTCTTCTTTCGTATATTTTGACCTGAAGGAGTAGAAGGCATTTGGCATCAAGTAGTAGAAGGCGTTTTGATCTCAACGGGAAGAAGGTTATTGACATCAAAGAGAAGAAGGTAATTGACATCAAAGAGAAGAAGGTAATTGACATCAAAGAGAAGAAGGCAATTGACATCAAAGAGAAGAAGGTTATTGACATCAAAGAGAAGAAGGTAATTGACATCAAAGAGAAGGATATCAAGAAGAGAGGAAACTAGAAGGTATTTGACATCAAGGAAGAGGGAAGCCATGAGTGATATCAAGAAGAGAGGAACTAGAAGGTATTTGACATCAAGGAGGAGGGAAGCCATGAGTGATATCAAGAAGAAGAAGGTAGACATCAAGGAAAGCCATGAGGAAGGTATTTGACATCAAGGAGGAGGGGAAGCCATGAGTGATATCAAGAAGAGAGAAACTAGAAGGTATTTGACATCAAGGAGGAGGGGGAAGCCATGAGTGATATCAAGAAGAGGGAACTAGAAGGTATTTGACATCAAGGAGGAGGGAAGCCATGAGTGATATCAAGAAGAGGGAACTAGAAGGTATTTGACATCAAGGAGGAGGGGAAGCCATGAGTATCAAGAAGAGAGGAACTAGAAGGTATTTGACATCAAGGAAGAGAGGAATCAAGAAGAGAGGGTATTTGACATCAAGGAGGAGGGGAAGCCATGAGTGATATCAAGAAGAGAGGAACTAGAAGGTATTTGACATCAAGGAGGAGGGGAAGCCATGAGTGATATCAAGAAGAGGAACTAGAAGGTATTTGACATCAAGGAGGAGGGAAGCCATGAGATATCAAGAAGAGAGGAACTAGAAGGTTTTGACATCAAGGAGGAGGGGGAAGCCATGAGTGATATCAAGAAGAGAGGAACTAGAAGGTATTTGACATCAAGGAGGAGGGGAAGCCATGAGTGATATCAAGAAGAGAGGAACTAGAAGGTATTTGACATCAAGGAGGAGGGGATGGTGATATCAAGAGAGGAACTAGAAGGTATTTGACATCAAGGAGGAGGGGAAGCCATGAGTGATATCAAGAAGAGAGGAACTAGAAGGTATTTGACATCAAGGAGGAGGGGAAGCCATGAGTGATATCAAGAAGAGAGGAACTAGAAGGTATTTGACATCAAGGAGGAGGGAAGCCATGAGTGATATCAAGAAGAGAGGAACTAGAAGGTATTTGACATCAAGGAGGAGGGGAAGCCATGAGGATATCAAGAAGAGAGGAACTAGAAGGTATTTGACATCAAGGAGGAGGGGAAGCCATGAGGATATCAAGAAGAGAGGAACTAGAAGGTATTTGACATCAAGGAGGAGGGGGAAGCCATGAGTGATATCAAGAAGAGAGGAAAACTAGAAGGTATTTGACATCAAGGAGGAGGAAGCCATGAGTGATATCAAGAAGAGGGAACTAGAAGGTATTTGACATCAAGGAGGAGGGAAGCCATGAGGATATCAAGAAGAGAGGAACTAGAAGGTATTTGACATCAAGGAGGAGGCCAGGGAAGAAGGAATGAAGGTGACATCAAGAAGAGAGAAACTAGAAGGTATTTGACATCAAGGAGGAGGGGAAGCCATGAGTGATATCAAGAAGAGAGGAACTAGAAGGTATTTGACATCAAGGAGGAGGGAAGCCATGAGTGATATCAAGAAGAGAGGAACTAGAAGGTATTTGACATCAAGGAGGAGGGGAAGCCATGAGGAGAGAACTAGAAGGTATTTGACATCAAGGAGGAGGGGAAGCCATGAGGATATCAAGAAGAGAGGAACTAGAAGGTATTTGACATCAAGGAGGAGGGAAGCCATGAGTGATATCAAGAAGAGAGGAACTAGAAGGTATTTGACATCAAGGAGGAGGGGGAAGCCATGAGTGATATCAAGAAGAGGAAACTAGAAGGTATTTGACATCAAGGAGGAGGGGAAGCCATGAGTGATATCAAGAAGAGAGGAACTAGAAGGTATTTGACATCAAGGAGGAGGGGAAGCCATGGGATATCAAGAAGAGGAAACTAGAAGGTATTTGACATCAAGGAGGAGGGGGAAGCCATGAGGATATCAAGAAGAGCAGAACTGAAGGTATTTGACATCAAGGAGGAGGAAGCCATGAGGATATCAAGAAGAGAGGAACTAGAAGGTATTTGACATCAAGGAGGAGGGGAAGCCATGAGTGATATCAAGAAGAGAGGAACTAGAAGGTATTTGACATCAAGGAGGAGGGGAAGCCATGAGTGATATCAAGAAGAGAGGAACTAGAAGGTATTTGACATCAAGGAGGAGGGGAAGCCATGGAGTGATATCAAGAAGAGAGGAACTAGAAGGTATTTGACATCAAGGAGGAGGGGAAGCCAAGCAAGAAGAGAGGAACTAGAAGGTATTTGACATCAAGGAGGAGGAAGCCATGAGTGATATCAAGAAGAGAGAACTAGAAGGTATTTGACATCAAGGAGGAGGGGAAGCCATGAGTGATATCAAGAAGAGAGGAACTAGAAGGTATTTGACATCAAGGAGGAGGGGAAGCCATGAGTGATATCAAGAAGAGAGGAACTAGAAGGTATTTGACATCAAGGAGGAGGGGAAGCCATGAGTGATATCAAGAAGAGGAACTAGAAGGTATTTGACATCAAGGAGGAGGGGGAAGCTATGAGTGATATCAAGAAGAGAGGAACTAGAAGGTATTTGACATCAAGGAGGAGGGGAAGCCATGAGTGATATCAAGAAGAGGAACTAGAAGGTATTTGACATCAAGGAGGAGGGGAAGCCATGAGTGATATCAAGAAGAGAGGAACTAGAAGGTATTTGACATCAAGGAGGAGGGAAGCCATGAGTGATATCAAGAAGAGAGGAACTCAGGAAGGTATTTGATATCAAGAAGAGAGAAGAGGGGAAGCCATGAGTGATATCAAGAAGAGAGGAACTAGAAGGTATTTGACATCAAGGAGGAGGGGAAGCCAAGGAGTGATATCAAGAAGAGAGGAACTAGAAGGTATTTGACATCAAGGAGGAGGGAAGCCATGAGTGATATCAAGAAGAGAGAAACTAGAAGGTATTTGACATCAAGGAGGAGGGGGAAGCCATGAGGATATCAAGAAGAGAGGAACTAGAAAGGTATTTGACATCAAGGAGGAGGGAAGCCATGAGTGATATCAAGAAGAGAGGAACTAGAAGGTATTTGGACATCAAGGAGGGAGGGGAAGCCATGAGTGATATCAAGAAGAGAGGAACTAGAAGGTATTTGACATCAAGGAGGAGGGAAGCCATGAGTGATATCAAGAAGAGAGAACTAGAAGGTATTTGACATCAAGGAGGAGGGAAGCCATGAGTGATATCAAGAAGAGAGGAACTAGAAGGTATTTGACATCAAGGAGGAGGGGAAGCCATGAGTGATATCAAGAAGAGAGGAACTAGAAGGTATTTGACATCAAGGAGGAGGGGAAGCCATGAGTGATATCAAGAAGAGAGGAACATCAGAAGGCCATATTTGACATCAAGGAGGAGGGGAAGCCATGAGATATCAAGAAGAGAGAAACTAGAAGGTATTTGACATCAAGGAGGAGGGGGAAGCCATGGAGTGATATCAAGAAGAGTGAAACTAGAAGGTATTTGACATCAAGGAGGAGGGGGAAGCCATGGAGTGATATCAAGAAGAGAGGAACTAGAAGGTATTTGACATCAAGGAGGAGGGAAGCCATGAGTGATATCAAGAAGAGAGGAAACTAGAAGGTATTTGACATCAAGGAGGAGGGAAGCCATGAGTGATATCAAGAAGAGAGGAACTAGAAGGTATTTGACATCAAGGAGGGAGGATATCAAGAAGAGTAGATATTTGACATCAAGGAGAAGAGAGGAAACTAGAAGGTATTTGACATCAAGGAGGAGGGGAAGCCATGAGTGATATCAAGAAGAGAGGAACTAGAAGGTATTTGACATCAAGGAGGAGGGGGAAGCCATGAGTGATATCAAGAAGAGAGAAACTAGAAGGTATTTGACATCAAGGAGGAGAGGGGAAGCCATGAGTGATATCAAGAAGAGTGAAACTAGAAGGTATTTGACATCAAGGAGGAGGGGAAGCCATGAGTGATATCAAGAAGAGAGGAACTAGAAGGTATTTGACATCAAGGAGGAGGGGAAGCCATGAGTGATATCAAGAAGAGTGAAACTAGAAGGTATTTGACATCAAGGAGGAGGGGAAGCCATGAGTGATATCAAGAAGAGAGAGGAACTAGAAGGTATTTGACATCAAGGGGAGGAGGGGGGCCATGAGGATATCAAGAAGAGAGAAACTAGAAGGTATTTGACATCAAGGAGGAGGGAGTGATATCAAGAAGAGAGAACTAACTAGAAGGTATTTGACATCAAGGAGGAGGGGAAGCCATGAGTGATATCAAGAAGAGTGGAACTTGAAGGTATTTGACATCAAGGAGGAGGGAAGCCATGAGTGATATCAAGAAGAGAGGAACTAGAAGGTATTTTGACATCAAGGAGGAGGGAAGCCATGAGTGATATCAAGAAGAGAGAACTAGAAGGTATTTGACATCAAGGAGGAGGAAGCCATGAGGATATCAAGAAGAGAGAACTAGAAGGTATTTGACATCAAGGAGGAGGGAAGCCATGATATCAAGAAGAAACTAGAAGGTATTTGACATCAAGGAGGAGGGGAAGCCATGAGTGATATCAAGAAGAGGGAACTAGAAGGTATTTGACATCAAGGAGGAGGGGAAGCCATGAGTGATATCAAGAAGAGGAAACTAGAAGGTATTTGACATCAAGGAGGAGGGGAAGAAGCCATGAGTGATATCAAGAAGAGAGGAACTAGAAGGTATTTGACATCAAGGAGGAGGAGGAAGCCAAGAAGAGAGATATTTGACAAGAAGGAGAGAGGAACTAGAAGGTATTTGACATCAAGGAGGAGGGAAGCCATGAGTGATATCAAGAAGAGAGGAACTAGAAGGTATTTGACATCAAGGAGGAGGGGAAGCCATGAGTGATATCAAGAAAACTAGAAGGTATTTGACATCAAGGAACTAGAAGAAGGTAGAAGGTTGACATCAAGGAGGAGGGGAAGCCATGAGTGATATCAAGAAGAGAGGAACTAGAAGGTATTTGACATCAAGGAGGAGGGGAAGCCATGAGTGATATCAAGAAGAGAGGAACTAGAAGGTATTTGACATCAAGGAGGAGGGGAAGCCATGAGTGATATCAAGAAGAGAGGAACTAGAAGGTATTTGACATCAAGGAGGAGGGGAAGCCATGAGTGATATCAAGAAGAGAGGAACTAGAAGGTATTTGACATCAAGGAGGAGGGAAGCCATGAGTGATATCAAGAAGAGAGGAACTAGAAGGTATTTGACATCAAGGAGGAGGGGAAGCCATGAGGATATCAAGAAGAGAGGAACTAGAAGGTATTTGACATCAAGGAGGAGGGGGAAGCCATGAGTGATATCAAGAAGAGAGAAACTAGAAGGTATTTGACATCAAGGAGGAGGGGATATCCATGAAACTAGAAGATTTGATCAAGAAGAGAGGAACAAGAAGGTATTTGACATCAAGGAGGAGGAAGCCATGAGTGATATCAAGAAGAGAGGAACTAGAAGGTATTTGACATCAAGGAGGAGGGAAGCCATGAGTGATATCAAGAAGAGAGGAACTAGAAGGTATTTGACATCAAGGAGGAGGGAAGCCATGAGTGATATCAAGAAGAGGGAACTAGAAGGTATTTGACATCAAGGAGGAGGGGAAGCCATGGTGATATCAAGAAGAGAGGAACTAGAAGGTATTTGACATCAAGGAGGAGGGGAAGCCATGAGTGATATCAAGAAGAGAGGAACTAGAAGGTATTTGACATCAAGGAGGGGGAAGCCATGAGTGATATCAAGAAGAGAGGAACTAGAAGGTATTTGACATCAAGGAGGAGGGGAAGCCATGAGTGATATCAAGAAGAGAGGAACTAGAAGGTATTTGACATCAAGGAGGAGGGGAAGCCATGAGTGATATCAAGAAGAGGAACTAGAAGGTATTTGACATCAAGGAGGAGGGGAAGCCATGAGTGATATCAAGAAGAGAGAACTAGAAGGTATTTGACATCAAGGAGGAGGGGGCCATGAGTGATATCAAGAAGAGAGGAACTAGAAGGTATTTGACATCAAGGAGGAGGGGAAGGGAGTGATATCAAGAAGAGAGGAACTAGAAGGTATTTGACATCAAGGGGAAGGGGAAGCCAAGGTGATATCAAGAAACTAGAAGGTATTTGACATCAAGGAGGAGGGGAAGCCATGAGGATATCAAGAAGAGAGAACTAGAAGGTATTTGACATCAAGGAGGAGGGGAAGCCATGAGTGATATCAAGAAGAGAGAACTAGAAGGTATTTGACATCAAGGAGGAGGGAAGCCATGAGTGATATCAAGAAGAGAGGAACTAGAAGGTATTTGACATCAAGGAGGAGGGGGAAGCCAAGGAGGATATCAAGAAGAGAGAAACTAGAAGGTATTTGACATCAAGGAGGAGGGGAAGCCATGAGTGATATCAAGAAGAGTGATATCAAGGAACTAGAAGGTATTTGACATCAAGGAGGAGGGGAAGCCATGAGTGATATCAAGAAGAGAGAAACTAGAAGGTATTTGACATCAAGGAGGAGGGGAAGCCATGAGGATATCAAGAAGAGAGAAACTAAAGGTATTTGACATCAAGGAGGAGGGGAAGCCATGAGGATATCAAGAAGAGGAACTAGAAGGTATTTGACATCAAGGAGGAGGGGAAGCCATGAGTGATATCAAGAAGAGAGAAACTAGAAGGTATTTGACATCAAGGAGGAGGGAAGCCATGAGTGATATCAAGAAGAGAGAAGAAACTAGAAGGTATTTGACATCAAGGAGGAGGGAAGCCATGAGTGATATCAAGAAGAGAGGAACTAGAAGGTATTTGACATCAAGGAGGAGGGAAGCCATGAGTGATATCAAGAAGAGAGGAACTAGAAGGTATTTGACATCAAGGAGGAGGGGAAGCCATGAGTGATATCAAGAAGAGAGGAACTAGAAGGTATTTGACATCAAGGAGGAGGGAAGCCATGCCATATCAAGAGTGAAACTAGAAGGTCATCAAGGAGGAGGGAAGCCATGAGATATCAAGAAGAGTGAAACTAGAAGGTATTTGACATCAAGGAGGAGGGAAGCCATGAGTGATATCAAGAAGAGAGGAACTAGAAGGTATTTGACATCAAGGAGGAGGGGAAGCCATGAGTGATATCAAGAAGAGAGGAACTAGAAGGTATTTGACATCAAGGAGGAGGGGAAGCCATGAGTGATATCAAGAAGAGTGAAACTAGAAGGTATTTGACATCAAGGAGGAGGGGAAGCCATGAGTGATATCAAGAAGAGAGGAACTAGAAGGTATTTGACATCAAGGAGGAGGGGAAGCCATGAGTGATATCAAGAAGAGAGGAACTAGAAGGTATTTGACATCAAGGAGGAGGGAAGCCATGAGTGATATCAAGAAGAGAGAAACTAGAAGGTATTTGACATCAAGGAGGAGGGAAGCCATGAGTGATATCAAGAAGAGAGGAACTAGAAGGTATTTGACATCAAGGAGGAGGGAAGCCATGGTGATATCAAGAAGAGTGAAACTGAAGGTATTTGACATCAAGGAGGAGGGAAGCCATGGGATATCAAGAAGAGAGAAACTAGAAGGTATTTGACATCAAGGAGGAGGGGAAGCCAAGCCATTTGACATCAAGGAGGAGGGGAAGCCATGATATATCAAGAAGAGTGAAACTAGAAGGTATTTGACATCAAGGAGGAGGGAAGCCATGAGTGATATCAAGAAGAGGAAACTAGAAGGTATTTGACATCAAGGAGGAGGGAAGCCATGAGTGATATCAAGAAGCCATGAGGTGATATCAAGAAGAGAGAAACTAGAAGGTATTTGACATCAAGGAGGGGGAAGCCATGAGTGATATCAAGAAGAGAAGAAACTAGAAGGTATTTGACATCAAGGAGGAGGGGAAGCCATGAGTGATATCAAGAAGAGTGAAACTAGAAGGTATTTGACATCAAGGAGGAGGGGAAGCCATGAGTGATATCAAGAAGAGAGACTAGAAGGTATTTGACATCAAGGAGGAGGGGAAGCCATAGGATATCAAGAAGAGAGAAACTAGAAGGTATTTGACATCAAGGAGGAGGGGAAGCCATGAGGATATCAAGAAGAGAAACTAGAAGGTATTTGACATCAAGGAGGAGGGGAAGCCATGAGGATATCAAGAAGAGTGAAACTAGAAGGTATTTGACATCAAGGAGGAGGGGAAGCCATGAGTGATATCAAGAAGAGAGGAACTAGAAGGTATTTGACATCAAGGAGGAGGGGAAGCCATGAGTGATATCAAGAAGAGAGGAACTAGAAGGTATTTGACATCAAGGAGGAGGGGAAGCCATGAGTGATATCAAGAAGAGTGAAACTAGAAGGTATTTGACATCAAGGAGGAGGGGAAGCCATGAGTGATATCAAGAAGAGTGAAACTAGAAGGTATTTGACATCAAGGAGGAGGGGAAGCCATGAGTGATATCAAGAAGAGAGGAACTAGAAGGTATTTGACATCAAGGAGGAGGGGAAGCCATGAGTGATATCAAGAAGAGTGAAACTAGAAGGTATTTGACATCAAGGAGGAGGGGAAGCCATGAGTGATATCAAGAAGAGTGAAACTAGAAGGTATTTGACATCAAGGAGGAGGGGAAGCCAAGAAGAGTGAAACTAGAAGGTATTTGATATCAAGAAGGGAAGCCATGGAACTAGAAGGTAAACTTGACATCAAGGAGGAGGGGAAGCCATGAGTGATATCAAGAAGAGGAAACTAGAAGGTATTTGACATCAAGGAGGAGGGGAAGGAGGAGGAAACCATGACAAGAAGAGAGGAACTAGAAGGTATTTTGACATCAAGGGGAGGAAGCCATGAGTGATATCAAGAAGAGTGAAACTAGAAGGTATTTGACATCAAGGAGGAGGGGAAGCCATGAGTGATATCAAGAAGAGTGAAACTAGAAGGTATTTGACATCAAGGAGGAGGGGAAGCCATGAGGATATCAAGAAGAGTGAAACTAGAAGGTATTTTGACATCAAGGAGGAGGGGAAGCCATGAGTGATATCAAGAAGAGTGAAACTAGAAGGTATTTGACATCAAGGAGGAGGGGAAGCCATGGAGGATATCAAGAAGAGAGGAACTAGAAGGTATTTGACATCAAGGAGGAGGGAAGCCATGAGTGATATCAAGAAGAGTGAAACTAGAAGGTATTTGACATCAAGGGAGGGGAAGCCATGAGTGATATCAAGAAGAGTGAAACTAGAAGGTATTTGACATCAAGGAGGAGGGGGAAGCCATGAGTTATCAAGAAGATCTAGAAGGTATTTGACATCAAGGAGGAGGGGAGCCATGAGTGATATCAAGAAGAGTGAAACTAGAAGGTATTTGACATCAAGGAGGAGGGGAAGCCATGAGTGATATCAAGAAGAGGAAACTAGAAGGTATTTGACATCAAGGAGGAGGAAGCCATGAGATATCAAGAAGAGTGAAACTAGAAGGTATTTGACATCAAGGAGGAGGGGAAGCCATGAGTGATATCAAGAAGAGAGAAACTAGAAGGTATTTGACATCAAGGAGGAGGGAAGCCATGAGTGATATCAAGAAGAGGAACGAAACTAGAAGGTATTTGACATCAAGGAGGAGGGAAGCCAAGAGGTGATATCAAGAAGAGGAACTAGAAGGTATTTGACATCAAGAGGAGGGAAGCCATGAGGATATCAAGAAGAGTGAAACTAGAAGGTATTTGACATCAAGGAGGAGGGGAAGCCATGAGGATATCAAGAAGAGTGAAACTAGAAGGTATTTGACATCAAGGAGGAGGGAAGCCATGAGGATATCAAGAAGAGTGAAACTAGAAGGTATTTGACATCAGGAGGAGGGAAGCCAAGATATCAAGAAGAGTAAACTAAAGGTTTTGACATCAAGGAGGAGGAAGCCATGAGGATATCAAGAAGAGTGAAACTAGAAGGTATTTGACATCAAGGAGGAGGGGAAGCCATGAGTGATATCAAGAAGAGAGGAACTAGAAGGTATTTGACATCAAGGGAGGAGGAAAGCCATATGTGATATCAAGAAGAGTGAAACTAGAAGGTATTTGACATCAAGGAGGGGAAGGGGAAGAGAAGGAGGAGGGGGGAGTGAAACTAGAAGGTATTTGACATCAAGGAGGAGGGAAGCCAAGTGAGTATCAAGAAGAGTGAAACTAGAAGGTATTTGACATCAAGGAGGAGGGAAGCCATGAGTGATATCAAGAAGAGTGAAACTAGAAGGTATTTGACATCAAGGAGGAGGGGAGCCATGAGTGATATCAAGAAGAGTGAAAAACTAGAAGGTATTTGACATCAAGGAGGAGGGGGAAGCCATGAGTGATATCAAGAAGAGTGAAACTAGAAGGTATTTGACATCAAGGAGGAGGGGAAGCCATGAGTGATATCAAGAAGAGTGAAACTAGAAGGTATTTGACATCAAGGAGGAGGGGAAGCCATGAGTGATATCAAGAAGAGTGAAACTAGAAGGTATTTGACATCAAGGAGGAGGGGAAGCCATGAGGATATCAAGAAGAGAAACTAGAAGGTATTTGACATCAAGGAGGAGGGGAAGCCATGAGTGATATCAAGAAGAGAGGAACTAGAAGGAGGAAGGGAAACCATATTATCAAGACATCAAGGACATCAAGGAGGAGGGGAAGCCATGAGTGATATCAAGAAGAGAGGAACTAGAAGGTATTTGACATCAAGGAGGGAAGCCATGAGGATATCAAGAAGAGTGAAACTAGAAGGTATTTGACATCAAGGAGGAGGAAGCCATGAGTGATATCAAGAAGAGGAAACTAGAAGGTATTTGACATCAAGGAGGAGGGAAGCCATGAGTGACATCAAGAAGAGAGAAACTAGAAGGTATTTGACATCAAGGAGGAGGGAAGCCATGAAGTGACATCAAGGAGGAGGGGAAGCATGAGGATATCAAGAAAACTAGAAGGTATTTGACATCAAGGAGGAGGGGAAGCCATGAGTGATATCAAGAAGAGTGAAACTAGAAGGGGAGGGGGGGCTTGACATCAAGGAGGAGGGAGGAGGGGAAGTATCAAGAAGAGAAACCATGGTATTTGACATCAAGGAGGAGGGAACCTAGAAGGTATTTGACATCAAGGAGTGATATCAAGAAGAGTGAAACTAGAAGGTATTTGACATCAAAAGGAGGGGAAGCCATGAGTGATATCAAGAAGAGTGAAACTAGAAGGTATTTGACATCAAGGAGGGGGGGGCCATGAGTGATATCAAGAAGAGAAAACTAGAAGGTATTTGACATCAAGGAGGAGGGGCCATGAGTGATATCAAGAAGAGTGAAACTAGAAGGTTATTTGACATCAAGGAGGAGGGGAAGCCATGAGTGATATCAAGAAGAATTGAAACTAGAAGGTATTTGACATCAAGGAGGGGGAAGCCATGAGTGATATCAAGAAGAGTGAAACTAGAAAGGTATTTGACATCAAGGAGGAGGAAGCCATGAGTGATATCAAGAAGGAAACTAGAAGGGAAACTGACATCAAGGAGGAGGGAAGCCATGAGGTGATATCAAGAAGAGTGAAACTAGAAGGTATTTGACATCAAGGAGGAGGGAAGCCATGAGTGATATCAAGAAGAGTGAAACTAGAAGGTATTTGACATCAAGGAGGAGGGGGAAGCCAAGAGAGTGATATCAAGAAGAGTGAAACTAGAAGGTATTTGACATCAAGGAGGAGGGGGAAGCCATGAGTGATATCAAGAAGAGGTAAACTAGAAGGTATTTGACATCAAGGAGGAGGGAAGCCATGAGTGATATCAAGAAGAGTGAAACTAGAAGGTATTTGACATCAAGGAGGAGGGGAAGCCATGAGGATATCAAGAAGATGAAACTAGAAGGTATTTGACATCAAGGAGAGGAGGAAGCCATAGGGGAGGATATCAAAGAGTGAAACTAAGAAGGTATTTGACATCAAGGAGGAATTGGACATCAAGGAGGAGGGGAGTGACATCAAGAAGAGTGAAACTAGAAGGTATTTGACATCAAGGAGGAGGGGAAGCCATGAGTGATATCAAGAAGAGGAAACTAGAAGGTATTTGACATCAAGGAGGAGGGGGGCCATGAGAAGAGTGGTATTTGACATCAAGGAGGGAGCCAAGTGAGGATATCAAGAAGAGGAACTAGAAGGTATTTGACATCAAGGAGGAGGGAAGCAAGCATCAAGAAGAGGAAGGTGATATCAAGAAGAGTGAAACTAGAAGGAACTTATTTGACATCAAGGAGGAGGGGAAGCCATGAGTGATATCAAGAAGAGTGAACTAGAAGGTATTTGACATCAAGGAGGAGGGGAAGCCAAGGAGTGATATCAAGAAGAGTGAACCAGAAGGTATTTTCATCAAGGAGGAGGGGGATGAGTGATATCAAGAAGAGTGAAACTTTGATTTGGACATCAAGGAGGGGAAGCCATGAGTGATATCAAGAAGAGGAACTAGGGTATTTGACATCAAGGAGGAGGGGAAGCCATGAGTGATATCAAGAAGAGAGAAACTAGAAGGTATTTGACATCAAGGAGGAGGAAGCCATGAGGATATCAAGAAGAGGAAACTAGATATTTGACATCAAGGAGGAGGGGAGAGGATATCAAGAAGAGTGAAATTTATTTGACATCAAGGAGGAGGGGAAGCCATGAGTGATATCAAGAAGAGAGAAACTAGAAGGTATTTGACATCAAGGAGGAGGGAAGCAAGGAGTGATATCAAGAAGAGTGAACTAGAAGGGTATTTTGACATCAAGGAGGAGGGAAGCCAAGGAGGATATCAAGAAGAGACGAACTAGAAGGTATTTGACATCAAGGAGGAGGAAGCCAAGAGTGATATCAAGAAGAGTGAAACTAGAAGGTATTTGACATCAAGGAGAGGGGAAGCCATGAGTGATATCAAAGAGGAAACTAGAAGGTATCATCAAGGAGGAGGGGAAGCCAAGGAGATATCAAGAAGAGAATTATTTGACATCAAGGAGGGGGAAGCCAAGAGTGATATCAAGAAGAGTGAAACTAGAAGGTATTTGACATCAAGGAGGAGGGGAAGCCATGAGTGATATCAAGAAGAGGAAACTAGAAGGTATTTGACATCAAGGAGGAGGGAAGGAGGATATCAAGAAGAGAGAAACTAGAAGGTATTTGACATCAAGGAGAGGGAAGCCATGAACTGAAACTAGAAGGTATTTTGACATCAAGGAGGAGGGGAAGCCATGAGTGATATCAAGAAGAGAGAAACCAGAAGGTATTTGACATCAAGGAGGAGGGGAAGCCAAGAGTGATATCAAGTGAAGAGGAGAACTAGAAATGGACATCAAGGAGGAGGGGAAGCCAAGGAGTGATATCAAGAAGAGAGGAAATTGAAGGTATTTGACGACATCAAGGAGGAGGGGAAGCCAAGAGTGATATCAAGAAGAGAGAAACTAGAAGGTATTTGACATCAAGGAGGAGGGGGAATATCAAGAAGAGTGAAAAAACTAGAAGGTATTTGACATCAAGGAGGAGGAAATGAGTATCAAGAAGAGAGAAACTAGAAGGTATTTGACATCAAGGAGGAGGGGGAAGCCAAGTGAGTGATATCAAGAAGAGAGGAACTAGAAGGTATTTGGACATCAAGGAGAGGGGAGCCATGGGATATCAAGAAGAGTGAAACTATCAAAGGAGGAGGGGAAGCCATGAGTGATATCAAGAAGAGTGAAACTTTGGACATCAAGGAGGAGGGAAGCCAAGAGGATATCAAGAAGAGTGAAACTAGAAGGTATTTGACATCAAGGAGGAGGGGAAGCCAAGGAGTGAGGATCAAGAAGAGTGAAACTAGAAGGTATTTGACATCAAGGAGGAGGGGCCAAGAGGATATCAAGAAGAGTGAAACTAGTGAGTGATATCAAGAAGAGAAACTAGAAGGTATTTGACATCAAGGAGGAGGGGAAGCCATGAGTGATATCAAGAAGAGGAACTAGGATTTGACATCAAGGAGGAGGGAAGCCATGAGATATCAAGAAGAGTGAAACTAGAAGGTATTTGACATCAAGGAGGAGGGGAAGCCATGATATCAAAGAGGAACTAGAAGGTATTTGACATCAAGGAGGAGAGTGAAATCAAGAAGAGAGGAACTAAGGTATTTGACATCAAGGAGGAGGGGGAAGCCATGAGTGATATCAAAGAGAAACTAGAAACTCAAGGAAGGGGATTTGACATCTAGAAGGAGGGAGGGGAAGCCATGAGTGATATCAAGAAGAGTGAAACTAGAAGGTATTTGGACATCAAGGAGGAGGGGAAGCAAGAGGATATCAAGAAGAGAAACTAGAAGGTATTTGACATCAAGGAGGAGGGAAGCCATGAGCACAAGAAGAGTGAAACTAGAAGGGTTTGACATCAAGGAGGATCAAGGAGGATATCAAGGGGAAACTAGAAGGTATTTGACATCAAGGAGGATATCAAAGAAGAGTGAAACTAGAAGGTATTTGACATCAAGGAGGGGGGAAGCCATGAGTGATATCAAGAAAGAGTGAAACTAGAAGGTATTTGACATCAAGTGTGAGGAGGGGGAAGCCATGGAGTGATATCAAGAAGAGGAAACTAGAATATTTGACATCAAGGAGAGGGGAAGCCAGAGGATATCACAGAGTAAACCAGAAGGTATTTGACATCAAGGAGGAGGGAAGCCATGGAGGATAATGGGAAGAAGAGTGAAACTAGAAGGTATTTGACATCAAGGAGGGAGGAAGCCATGAGTGATAGCACAAGGAAGAGAGGAACTAGAAGGTATTTGACATCAAGGAGGAGGGAAGCTATGAGGATATCAAGAAGAGTGAAATCTCAGGAAGGTATTTTTGACATCAAGGAGGAGGGGAAGCCATAGTGATATCAAGAAGAGTGAAACTAGAAGGTATTTGACATCAAGGAGGATATCAAGAAGGGAAGGTTATTGACATCAAGGAGGAGGGGAAGCCACAGGTGATATCAAGAAGAGTGAAACTAGAAGGTATTTGACATCAAGAGGAGGGAAGCCATGAGTGATATCAAAAGAGTGAAAACTAAAGGTATTTGACATCAAGGAGGAGGAAGCCATGGTGATATCAAGAAGAGTGGGAACTAGAAGGTATTTGACATCAAGAAGAGGAAACTTCAGGAATCAAGCCATGAGTGATATCAAGAAGAGTGAAACTAGAAGGTAACATCAAGGAGGAGGGAAGCCATGAGGATATCAAAGAAGAGTGAAACTAGAAGGTATTTGACATCAAGGAGGAGGGAAGCCATGAGTGATATCAAGAAGAGTGAAACTAGAAGGTATTTGACATCAAGGAGGAGGGGAAATATGAGTGATATCAAGAAAGGAGTGAAACTAGAAGGTATTTGACATCAAGGAGGAGGGAAGCCATAGGATATCAAGAAGAGTGAAACTAGAAGGTTGATTCAAGGAGGAGGAAGCCATGATCAAGGAGGAGGGAAGCCATGAGTGATATCAAGAAGAGTGAAACTAGAAGGTATTTTGACATCAAGGAGGAGGGGAAGCCATGAGTGATATCAAGAAGAGTGAAACTAGAAGGTATTTGACATCAAGGAGGAGGGGGAAGCCAGGTGATATCAAGAAGAGGAGAAACTAGAGGAGGGGAAGCCATGGAGGATATTTGACATCAAGGAGGAGGGGGAAGCCATGGAGTGATATCAAGAAGAGAGGAAACTAGAAGGTATTTGACATCAAGGAGGAGGAAGCCATGAGTGATATCAAGAAGAGTGAAACTAGAAGGTATTTGACATCAAGGAGGAGGGGGGAAGCCATGAGATATCAAGAAGAGTGAAACTATCATCAAGGAGGAGGGGGGTTATGAGTGATATCAAGAAGAGTGAAACTAGAAGGTATTTGACATCAAGGAGGAGGGGAAGCCATGAGACATCAAGAAGAGAGAAACTAGAAGGTATTTGACATCAAGGAGAGGGGAAGCCATGGGGGAAGAGTGAAACTAGAAGGTATTTGACATCAAGGAGGAGGGGAAGCCATGAGTGATATCAAGAAGAGTGAAACTAGAAGGTATTTGACATCATCAAGGAGGGGAAGCCAAGAGGATATCAAGAAGAGAAACTAGAAGGTATTTGACATCAAGGAGGAGGGGGAAGCCATGAGTGATATCAAGAAGAGTGAAACTAGAAGGTATTTGACATCAAGGAGGAGGGAAGCCATGAGGATATCAAGAAGAGTGAAACTAGAAGGTATTTTGACATCAAGGAGGAGGGGAAGCCATGAGTGATATCAAGAAGAGTGAAACTAGAAGGTATTTGACATCAAGGAGGAGGGGAAGCCATGAGTGATATCAAGAAGAGTGAAACTAGAAGGTATTTGACATCAAGGAGGAGGGAAGCCATGGTGATATCAAGAAGAGTGAAACTAGAAGGTATTTGACATCAAGGGAGGAAGCCATGAGTGATATCAAGAAGAGGAAACTAGAAGGTATTTGACATCAAGGAGGAGGGGAAGCCATGAGTGATATCAAGAAGAGTGAAACTAGAAGGTATTTGACATCAAGGAGGAGGGGGAAGCCATGAGTGATATCAAGAAGGAGAAACTAGAAGGTATTTGACATCAAGGAGGAGGGAAAAGGATATCAAGAAGAGTGATATCAGAAGAGTGAAACTAGAAGGGAAACTATTTGACATCAAGGAGGAGGGAAGCCATGAGTGATATCAAGAAGAGTGAAACTAGAAGGTATTTGACATCAAGGAGGAGGGGAAGCCATGAGTGATATCAAGAAGAGGAACTAGAAGGTAACAGTCAAGGACATCAAGGAGGAGGGAAGCCATGGAGTGATATCAAGAAGAGTGAAACTAGAAATTATTTGACATCAAGGAGGAGGGGAAGCCATGAGTGATATCAAGAAGAGTGAAACTAGAAGGTATTTGACATCAAGGAGGAGGGGGAAGTATGAGTGATATCAAGAAGAGTGAAACTAGAAGGTATTTGACATCAAGGAGGAGGGGAAGGATATCAAGAAGTGATATCATCAGAAGAGTGAAACTAGAAGGTATTTGACATCAAGGAGGAGGGAAGCCATGAGTGATATCAAGAAGAGTGAAACTAGAAGGTATTTGACATCAAGGAGGAGGGAAGCCATGAGTGATATCAAGAAGAGTGAAACTAGAAGGTATTTGACATCAAGGAGGAGGGAAGGAGTGATATCAAGCCATGACTGATATCAAGGAGGAGGGGAAGCCAAGAGGATATGAGGAACTAGAATCAAGGAGGAGGGCTATGAGATATCAAGAAAGTGAAACATCAAGGAGGAGGGGAAGCCATGAGGATGATATCAAGAAGAGTGAAACTAGAAGGGTATTTGACATCAAGGAGGAGGGGAAGCCATGAGTGATATCATCAAGAAGGGAGGAGGATGAAGAGAACTAGATGTTGACATCAAGGAGGAGGGAAGCCATGAGGAGATATCAAGAAGAGAAACTAGAAGGTGTTGACATCAAGGAGGAGGGGAAGCCATGAGTGATATCAAGAAGAGTGAAACTAGAGGTATTCAAGGAGGAGGGGGGCCATGAGTGACATCAAGGAAACTAGGGTATTTGGTATCATGAGAGGGGAAGCCAAGAGTGATATCAAGAAGAGTGAAACTAGAAGGTATTGACATCAGGAGGAAGCCATGAGTGATATCAAGAAGAGTGAAACTAGAAGGTATTTGACATCAAGGAGGAGGGGAAGCCATGAGGATATCAAGAAGAGTGAAACTAGAAGGTATTTGACATCAAGGAGGAGGGGAAGCCATGAGTGATATCAAGAAGAGAGAAACTAGAAGGTATTTGACATCAAGGAGGAGGGAAGCCATGAGTGATATCAAGAAGAGTGAAACTAGAAGGTATTTGACATCAAGGAGGAGGGGAAGCCATGAGTGATATCAAGAAGAGGAAACTAGAAGGTATTTGACATCAAGGAGGAGGGGAAGCCATGAGTGATATCAAGAAGAGTGAAACTAGAAGGTATTTGACATCAAGGAGGAGGGGAAGCCATGAGTGATATCAAGAAGAGAAAACTAGAAGGTATTTGACATCAAGGAGGAGGGGAAGCCATGAGTGATATCAAGAAGGGAAGCCATGAAACAAGAAGAGAGAAACTAGAAGGTATTTGACATCAAGGAGGAGGGGAAGCCATGAGTGATATCAAGAAGAGAAAACTAGAAGGTATTTGACATCAAGGAGGAGGGGAAGCCATGAGTGATATCAAGAAGAGGAAACTAGAAGGTATTTGACATCAAGGAGGAGGGGAAGCCATGAGGATATCAAGAAGAGTGAAACTAGAAGGTATTTAAGGAGGAGGGAAACATCAAGAAGAGGAGGGGAAGCCATGAGTGATATCAAGAAGAGAGAAACTAGAAGGTATTTGACATCAAGGAGGAGGGAAGCCATGAGTGATATCAAGAAGAGTGAAACTAGAAATTTGACATCAAGGAGGAGGGGAAGCCATGAGTGATATCAAGAAGAGTGAAACTAGAAAGGTATTTGACATCAAGGAGGAGGGAAGCCATGAGTGATATCAAGAAGAGTGAAACTAGAAGGTATTTGGACATCAAGGAGGAGGGGAAGCCATGAGTGATATCAAGAAGAGTGAAACTAGAAGGTATTTGACATCAAGGAGGAGGGGAAGCCATGAGTGACATCAAGAAGAGGAAACTAGAAGGTATTTGACATCAAGGAGGAGGGGAAGCCATGAGTGGATATCAAGAAGAGAGAAACTAGAAGGTATTTGACATCAAGGAGGAGGGGAAGCCATGAGTGATATCAAGAAGAGTGAAACTAGAAGGTATTTGACATCAAGGAGGAGGGGAAGCCATGAGTGATATCAAGAAGAGTGAAACTAGAAGGTATTTGACATCAAGGAGGAGGGGAAGCCATGAGTGATATCAAGAAGAGTGAAACTAGAAGGTATTTGACATCAAGGAGGAGGGGAAGCCATGAGTGATATCAAGAAGAGTGAAACTAGAAGGTATTTGACATCAAGGAGGAGGGGAAGCCATGAGTGATATCAAGAAGAGTGAAACTAGAAGGTATTTGACATCAAGGAGGAGGGGAAGCCATGAGGATATCAAGAAGAGGAAACTAGAAGGGAAGCCATGAGGATATCAAGAAGAGTAAACTTTGACATCAAGGAGGAGGGGGAAGCCATGAGTATTTGATATCAAGAAGAGTGAAACTAGAAGGTATTTGACATCAAGGAGGAGGGAAGCCATGAGTGATATCAAGAAGAGTGAAACTAGAAGGTATTTGACATCAAGGAGGAGGGGAAGCCATGAGTGATATCAAGAAGAGTGAAACTAGAAGGTATTTGACATCAAGGAGGAGGGAAGCCATGGAGTGATATCAAGAAGAGGAAACTAGAAGGTATTTGACATCAAGGAGGAGGGGAAGCCATGAGTGATATCATCAAGGAAGAGGAACTAGAAGGTTTGACATTTGACATCAAGGAGGAGGGGAAGCCATAGTGATATCAAGAAGAGAGAAACTAGAAGGTATTTGACATCAAGGAGGAGGGGGGAAGCCATGAGTGATATCAAGAAGAGTGAAACTAGAAGGTATTTGACATCAAGGAGGAGGGGAAGCCATGAGGATATCAAGAAGAGAGTGAAACTAGAAGGTATTTGACATCAAGGAGGAGGGGGGAAGCCATGAGTGATATCAAGAAGAGTGAAAACTAGAAGGTATTTGACATCAAGGAGGAGGGAAGCCATGGTGATATCAAGAAGAGAGGAAACTAGAAGGTATTTGACATCAAGGAGGAGGGGAAGCCATGAGGATATCAAGAAGAGAGGAACTAGAAGGTATTTGACATCAAGGAGGAGGGGAAGCCATGAGGATATCAAGAAGAGAGAAACTAGAAGGTATTTGACATCAAGGAGGAGGGGAGGCATGAGTGATATCAAGAAGAGAGAAACTAGAAGGTATTTGACATCAAGGAGGAGGGAAGCCATGAGTGATATCAAGAAGAGGAAACTAGAAGGTATTTGACATCAAGGAGGAGGGGGAAGCCATGAGGATATCAAGAAGAGAAACTAGAAGGTATTTGACATCAAGGAGGAGGGGAAGCCATGGGAAGTGATATCAAGAAGAGACGAAACTAGATATTTTGACAAGGAAGAAGCCAGAGGAATCAAGAAGAGGAACTAGAAGGTATTTGACATCAAGGAGGAGGGAAGCCATGGAGATATCAAGAAGAGAAACTAGAAGGTATTTGACATCAAGGAGGAGGGGAAGCCATGAGTGATATCAAGAAGAGTGAAACTAGAAGGTATTTGACATCAAGGAGGAGGGGAAGCCATGAGTGATATCAAGAAGAGAGGAACTAGAAGGTATTTGACATCAAGGAGGAGGGAAGCCATGAGGATATCAAGAAGAGAGAAACTATCATCAAGGAGGAGAAGCCATGAGTGATATCAAAAGAGGAACTAGAAGGTATTTGACATCAAGGAGGAGGGGGGCCATGAGTGATATCAAGAAGAGAAACTAGAAGGTATTTGACATCAAGGAGGAGGGGAAGCCATGAGTGATATCAAGAAGAGAGGAAACTAGAAGGTATTTGACATCAAGGAGGAGGGGAAGAAGAGAGAACCATGAGGATATCAAGAAGAGAGGAACTAGAAGGTATTTGACATCAAGGAGGAGGGGAAGCCATGAGTGATATCAAGAAGAGTGAAACTAGAAGGTATTTGACATCAAGGAGGAGGGGGCCAAGAGTGATATCAAGAAGAGAGAAACTAGAAGGTATTTGACATCAAGGAGGAGGGGGAAGCCATGAGGATATCAAGAAGAGTGAAACTAGAAGGTATTTGACATCAAGGAGGAGGGGAAGCCATGAGTGATATCAAGAAGAGGAGGAACTAGAAGGTATTTGACATCAAGGAGAGGGGGAAGGAGGAGCACTACAGGAGAAGAGGGGGAAGCCATGAGTGATATCAAAGGTAAGAGGAAACCATAGGATAGAAGAGAGATAGAAGGTATTTGACATCAAGGAGGAGGGGAAGCCATGAGGAAGATATCAAGAAGAGAGGAACTAGAAGGTATTTTACATCAAGGAGGAGGGAAGCTTTGAGCAAGAAGAGAGGAACTAGAAGGTATTTGACATCAAGGAGGAGGGAAACTAGTGATATCAAGAAGAGGAAACTAGAAGGTATTTGACATCAAGGAGGAGGGGAAGCCATGAGGATATCAAGAAGAGAGGAACTAGAAGGTATTTGACATCAAGGAGGAGGGGGATATCAAGAAGAGAGGAACTAGAAGGTATTTGACATCAAGGAGAGTGATATCAAGAAGAGAGGAACTAGAAGGGTATTGACATAGGAGGGGAAGCCATGAGGATATCAAGAAGAGAGGAACTAGAAGGATGGACATCAAGGAGGAGGGGGAAAGCCATGGAGATATCAAGAAGAAGAGGAACTAGAAGGTATTTGACATCAAGGAGGAGGGGAAGCTATGAGTGATATCAAGAAGAGGAAACTAGAAGGTATTTGACATCATGAGAGGGAAGCCATGAGGATATCAAGCAAGAGAGAACTAGAAGGCATTTGACATCAAGGAGGAGGGGAAATGAGTGATATCAAGAGAGGAACTAGGAAGGTATTTGACATCAAGGAGGAGGGGAAGGCAAGGAGATATCAAGAAGAGAGGAACGGAAGGTATTTGACATCAAGGAGGAGGGGAAGCCATGAGGATATCAAGAAGAGAGGAACTGAAATTTGACATCAAGGAGGAGGAAGCAGAGTGATATCAAGAAGAGAGGAACTAGAAGGTTTTGACATCAAGGAGGAGGAAGCCATGAGTGATATCAAGAAGAGGAAGGTATTTGACATCAAGGAGAGGGGAAGCCAGCGAGTGATATCAAGAGAGGAACTAGAAGGAACATCAAGGAAGGTGATTCAAGAAGACATCAAGGAGGAGGGAAGGCGAGGATATCAAGAAGAGGAACTAGAAGGTGGAGGGGAAGCCAAGAGTGATATCAAGAAGAGTGAAACTAGAAGGTATTTGACATCAAGGAGGAGGTGAGGAGGATATCAAGAAGAAACTAGAAGGTGATATCAAGAAGGAAGGAAACTAAAGAGAGGAACTATTTGACATCAAGGAGGAAGCCATGAGAGTGATATCAAGAAGAGTAGAAGGATGGACATGAAGGAGGGGAAATAAGAGGGTTTAAGAAGAGTGAAACTAAAGGTATTTGGACATCAAGGAGAAGATGAGTGATATCAAGAAGAGGAAACTAGAAGGTATTTGGACATCAAGGAGAGGGGAAGCCATGAGGATATCAAGAAGAGAGGAACTAGAAGGTATTTGACATCAAGGAGGAAGGGGGAAGCCATGAGGACATCAAGAAGAGAGAAACTAGAAGGTATTTGACATCAAGAGGAGAGGGAAGCCATGAGGATATCAAGAAGAGAGGAACTAGAAGGTAGGAGGGGGCTTTATGAGTCAAGAAGAGATCAAGGAGGACATCAAGAGGAGGAAGCCATGAGTGGATATCAAGAAGAGGAAACTAGAAGGTATTTGACATCAAGGAGAGGGGAAGCCATGAGGATATCAAGAAGAGAGGAACTAGAAGGTATTTGGAGCATCAAGGAGGAAGGGGGAAGCCATGAGACATCAAGAAGAGTGGAACTAGGAAGGTATTTGGACATCAAGGAGGAGGGGGGTTATGAGGATATCAAGAAGAGAGGAACTAGAAGGTCAAGGAGGAGGGGGCTTTGACATCAAGGGGAGGAGGGGAAGCCATGAGTGGATCAAGAAGAGAGAACTAGAAGGTATTTGGACATCAAGGAGGAGGGGGAAGCATGAGTGATATCAAGAAGAGAGGAACTAGAAGGTATTTGACATCAAGGAGGGGGAAGCTATGAGTGATATCAAGAAGAGAGGAATCAGAAGGTATTTGACATCATGATGAGGGGGAAGCCATGAGGGATAAGAAGAAGAAACTGAAGGTATTTGACATCAAGGAGGAGGGGGAAGCCGAGGACATCAAGAGAGGAACCAGAAGGCATTTGGACATCGGGTTGAGGGGAAGCCAAGAGGATATCAAGAAGAGTGGAACTAGAAGGCAAGCTTGACATCAAGGAGGAGGGGAAGCCATGAGGACATTGGAAAGAGAGGAACTAGAAGGTATTTGACATCAAGGAGGAGGGGAAGCCAGAGGATACTCAAGAAGAGAGGAACTAGAAGGTATTTGACATCAAGGAGGATTGGAAGCCATGAGTGATATCAAGAAGAGAGAGGAACTAGAGGTATTGACATCAAGGAGGAGGGGAAGCCAGAGTGATATCAAGAAGAGGAAACTAGAAGGCATTTGGACATCAAGGAGGGAAGGCATGAGTGATATCAAGAAGAGAGAAACTAGAAGGTATTTGACATCAAGGAGGATTGGGAAGCCATGAGGAGTATCAAGAAGAGAGACAACTAGATATCAAGAAGAGAGAACTAGGGAAGGTTTTGGACATCAAGGAGGAGGGAGCCTAGGATATCAAGAAGAGTGAACTAGAAGGGGGCAAGAAGAGAAGCCATGAGAAGATATCAAGAAGAGGAAACTAGGTATTGACATCAAGGAGGAGGGAAGCCATGAGGAGTCAGAAGAAGAGAGGAACTAGAAGGTGCATTTGACATCAAGGAGGAGGGGAAGCCATGAGGATATCAAGAAGAGGAAATAGAAGGTATTTGACATCAAGGAGGGGGAGGGATATCAGCCATTTGAGGATATCAAGAAGAGAGGAACTAGAAGGCATTTGACATCAAGGAGGAGGGGAAGCCATGAGTGATATCAAGAAGAGGGAACTAGAAGGCTTGACATCAAGGAGGAGGGGGAAGCCATGAGGATATCAAGAAGAAGAAACTAGAAGGTATTTGACATCAAGGAGGAGGGAAGCCATGAGGATATCAAGAAGAGAGGTGAACAGAAGGTATTTGACATCAAGGAGGAGGAAGCCAAGGAGGATATCAAAGAAGAGAGGAACTAGAAGGTATTTGACATCAAGGAGGATTAAAGCCATGAGTGATATCAAGAAGAGAGAAACTAGAAGGTATTTGACATCAAGGAGGAGGGAAGCCATGAGTGATATCAAGAAGAGTGAAACTAGAAGGTATTTGACATCAAGGAGGAGGGGAAGGAGTGATATCAAGAAAAGAGGGAACCAAGGTATTTGACATCAAGGAGGAGGGGAAGCCAAGAGGATATCAAGAAGAGAGGGAACGGAAGGTAGAAGGAGGAGGGCTATTTGACATCAAGGAGGAGGGGAAGCCATGAGGATGATATCAAGAAGAGAGAAACTAGAAGGGTATTTGACATCAAGGAGGAGGGGAAGCCATAGAGTGATATCAAGAAGAGTGAAACTAGAGGGTATTTGACATCAAGGAGGAGGGAAGCCATGAGGATATCAAGAAGAGAGAACTAGAAGGTATTTGACATCAAGGAGGAGGGAAGCCATGAGGAGATATCAAGAAGAGAGAAACTAGAAGGTATTGACATCAAGGAGGAGGGGAAGCCAAGGAGGATATCAAGAAGAGGAACTAGAAGGTATTTGACATCAAGGAGGAGGGGAAGCCATGAGTGATATCAAGAAGAGTGAAACTAGAAACTAGAAGGGGAAGCAGAGATACGGGTATTTGACATCAAGGAGGAGGGGATGAGGACATTTTCAAGAAGAGTGAAACTAGAAGGTATTTGATATCAAGAAGGAGGAAGAACCAAGAAGAGAGGAACTAGAAGGCTTGGACATCAAGGAGGAGGGGAAGCTGAGGATATCAAGAAGAGGAAACTGAAGGTATCAAGAAGGGGGAGGAAACTAGAAGTATTTTGACATCAAGGGAGGAGGGAAGCCATGAGTGATATCAAGAAGAGAGAACTGACATTTGATACAAGAAGGGAGCCATGAGAACCAAACGAGAAGGTATTTGGACATCAAGAGGGAGGGGGCTGCTGAGTGACATTGGAGTAGAAGGTATTTGACATCAAGGAGGAGGGAAGCCAAGGAGGAGGCACGAAGAGTGAAACTAGCGTATTTGGACATCAAGGAGTAGGAAGCCAAGAAGAAGAAGAAAACTAGAAGGTATTTGACATCAAGGAGGAGGGGAAGCCAAGAGGATATCAAGAAGAGTGAAACTAGAAGGTATTTGACATCAAGGGAGGAGGGAAGCCATCAAGAAGAGGAAACTAGAAGGCATTTGATCAAGAAGAGTGTAAAAGAGCAGTCTTAGAAGGTATTTGGACATCAAGGAGGAGGGGAAGCCATGAGGATATCAAGAAGAGTGAAACTAGAAGGTGATTTGACATCAAGGAGGAGGGGAAGCCATGAGTGATATCAAGAAGAGAAACTAGAAGGTATTTGACATCAAGAAGGTATTTGAAACTGACATCAAGGAGGAGGGGAAGCCATGAGTGATATCAAGAAGAGGAAACTAGAAGGTATTTGACATCAAGGAGAGGGAAGCCATGAGGATATCAAGAAGAGAGGAACTAGAAGGTATTTGACATCAAGGAGGAGGGGAAGCCATGAAACTAGATATTGACAAGAAGAGAGGAAAGAAGAGTGAAACTAGAAGGTATTTGACATCAAGGAGGAGGGGAAGCCATGAGTGATATCAAGAAGAGAGGAACTAGAAGGTATTTGACATCAAGGAGGAGGGGAAGCCATGAGTGATATCAAGAAGAGGAACTAGAAGGTATTTGACATCAAGGAGGAGGGGAAGCCATGAGTGATATCAAGAAGAGAGGAAACTAGAAGGTATTTGACATCAAGGAGGAGGGAAGCCATGAGTGATATCAAGAAGAGAAACTAGAAGGTATTTGACATCAAGGAGGAGGGGAAGCCATGAGGATATCAAGAAGAGTGAAACTAGAAGGTATTTGACATCAGGGAGGAGGAAGCCATGAGTGATATCAAGAAGAGTGGAACTAGAAGGTATTTGACATCAAGGAGGAGGGAAGCCATGAGGATATCAAGAAGAGAGAAACTAGAAGGTATTTGACATCAAGGAGGAGGGGGAAGCCAAACTAGAGGATATCAAGAAGAGAGGAACTAGAAGGTATTTGACATCAAGGAGGAGGGAAGCCATGAGGATATCAAGAAGAGAGAAACTAGAAGGTATTTGACATCAAGGAGGAGGGAAGCCATGAGGATATCAAGAAGAGAAACTAGAAGGTATTTGACATCAAGGAGGAGGGGGAAGCCATGAGGATATCAAGAAGAGAGAACTAGAAGGTATTTGACATCAAGGAGGAGGGAAGCCATGAGGATATCAAGAAGAGAGGAACTAGAAGGTATTTGACATCAAGGAGGAGGGAAGCCATGAGTGATATCAAGAAGAGAGAACTAGAAGGTATTGATATCAAAGGAGGAGGGAAGTCATGAGTGATATCAAAGAGAGGAACTAGAAGGTATTGATACTCAAGGAGGAGGGAAGCCATGAGTGATATCAAGAAGAGAAACCAAAGGTATTTGACATCAAGGAGGAGGGGAAGTCACAGTGATACCAAGAAGAGAGGAACGAAGGTATTTGACATCAAGGAGGAGGGGAAGCCAAGGAGTGATATCAAGAAGAGAGAACTAGAAGGTATTTGGACATCAAGGAGGAGGGGAAGCAAGGAGGACAAGAAGAGAGGAACTAGGAAGGTATTTGACATCAAGGAGGAGGAAGCCATGAGGATATCAAGAAGAGAGAGGAAATTAGAAGGTATTTGACATCAAGGAGGAGGGGAAGCCGAGGATATCAAGAAGAGGAAATTAAAGGTATTTGACATCAAGGAGGAGGGAAGCCATAGTGATATCAAGGAGGAGGGGAAGCCATGAAACTAACAGGAAGGTATTTGACATCAAGGAGGAGGGGAAGCCAAGAGGATATATCAAGAAGAGAGGAACTAGAAGGTGATGGACATCAAGGAGGGGAAGGATATCAAGAAGAGAGAACTAGAAGGTACGGACACGAGGGAGGGTGGAAGTGATATCAAGAAGAGTGAAACTAGAAGGTATTTGACATCAGGAGGGGAGGAAGTGGTACCAAGAAGAGAGGAACCAGAAGGTATTTGATCAAGAGGAGGGAAGCCAGTTGAGTGATATCAATAACTAGAAGGTATTTGACATCAGAGGGAAGCCATCAGGAGTGAACTGGGTATTTGAAGCCATGAGTGATATCAGAAGAGAGGAACTAGAAGGTATTTGACATCAAGGAGGAGGGGAAGCCATGAGAGGATGTAAGAAGAGAGGAACTAGAAGGGCTTTGACATCAAGGAGGAGGGGAAGCCATGAGTGATATCAAGAAGAGAGGAACTAGAAGGTATTTGACATCAAGGAGGAGGGAAGCCATGAGGATATCAAGAAGAGAGGAAACTAAGGTATTTGACATCAAGGAGGAGAAGCCATGGAGTGATATCAAGAAGAGAGGAACTAGAAGGTATTTGACATCAAGGAGGAAGCCAATGAGGAAGAAGAGAGGAACTAGAAATATTGGACATCAAGGAGGAGGGGCCATGAGTGATATCAAGAGAGAGAAACTAGAAAGGTATTTGTTATTTAATCAAGGAGGAGGGGGAAGCCATGAGTGATATCAGAAGAGAGAACTAGAAGGTTATTTGACATCAAGGGAGAGGGGAAGCCATGAGGGTGATATCAAGAAGAGAGAAACTAAGAAGGAACTATTTGACATCAAGGAGGAGGGAAGCCATGAGTGATATCAAGAAGAGAGGAACTAGAAGGTATTTGACATCAAGGAGGAGGGAAGCCATATGAGTGATATCAAGAAGAGTGAACTAGAAGGTATTTGACATCAAGAGGAGGGGAAGCCATGAGTGATATCAAGAAGAGGAACTAGAACTCAAGAAGGTATTTGACATCAGGAGGAAGGTATTTGGATACCAAGGAGGAGGGGCTTAGGTGATATCAAGAAGAGGAACTAGAAGGTATTTGACATCAGGAGGGGAGGAGTGAAGCCATAAACTGATATCAGATCAAGGAGGAACTAGAAGGTGAAACTTTTTGACATCTTAAGGAGGAGGGAAGCCATGAGTGATATCAAGAAGAGAGGAACTAGAAGGTATTTAACATCAGAGGGGAGGGGAAGCCATGAAACTGATATCAAGAAGAGGAAACTAGAAGGTGAAACTTTGGACATCAAGGAGGAGGGGAAGCCATGAGTGATATCAAGAAGAGAGGAACTAGAAGGTATTTGACATCAAGGAGGAGGGGGAAGCCAAGAAAGTGATATCAAGAAGAGAGGAACTAGAAGGTATTTGACATCAAGGGAGGAGGAAGCCATGGAGTGATATCAAGAAGAGAGGAACTAGAAGGTATTTGACATCAAGGAGGAGGGGAAGCCATGAGGATATCAAGAAGAGAGGAACTAGAAGGTATTTGGACATCAAGGAGGAGGGGAAGCCATGAGTGATATCAAGAAGAGAGAAACTAGAAGGTGACTGGACATCAAGGAGGAGGGAAGCCATAGTGATATCAAGAAGAGAAACTAGAAGTATTTGACATCAAGGAGGAGGGGAGCCAAGTGATATCAAGAAGAGAGAAACTAAGGTATTTGACATCAAGGAGGAGGAAGCCATGAGTGATAACATCAAGAAGAGAGGAACTAGAAGGTATTTGACATCAAGGAGGAGGGAAGCCATGAGGATATCAGAAGAGAGGAACTAGAAGGTATTTGACATCAAGGAGGGAAGGGGAAGCCATGAGTGATATCAAGAAGAGAGGAACTAGAAGGTATTTGACATCAAGGAGGAGGGAAGTCATGAGGATATCAAGAAGAGAGGAACTAGAATTATTTGACATCAAGAGGAGGGGAAGCCATAGGTGATATCAAGAAGAAGAGAGGAACTAGAAGGTATTTGACATCAAGGAGGAGGGGAACATGGTGATATCAAGAAGAGAGGAAGAAGGGTATTTGGACATCAGGAGGAGGAACAAGGAGGATATCAAGAAGAGGAACTAGAAGGTTTGACATCAGGAGGGGGAAGCCATAGTGATATCAAGAAGAGAGGAACTAGAAGGTATTTGACATCTTAAGGAGGAGGGAAGCCATGGAGGATATCAAGAAGAGAGAACTAGAAGGTATTTGACATCAGAGGAGGGAAGCCATGAGTGATATCAAGAAGAGAGGAAACTAGAAGGTATTTGACATCAAGGAGGAGGGGAAGCCATGGTGGATCAAGAAGAAGAGGAAACTAGAAGGTATTTCAAGATCAAGGAGGAGGGGCCATGAGTGATATCAAGAAGAGTGAAACTAGAAGGTATTTGACATCAAGGAGGAGGGGAAGCTATACAGATATCAAGAAGAGGGAACTAGAAGGTATTTGACATCAAGGAGGAGGGAAGCCATAAGGAGGTCAAGAAGAGAGGAACTAGGTAGGGTATTTGACATCAGGAGGAGGGAAGCCAGAGTGATATCAAGAGAGGAAACTAGAAGTATTTGACATCAAGGAGGAGGGCTGCATGAGCTGATATCAAGAAGAGAGGAACTAGAAGGTATTTGACATCACAGAGGGGAAGCCATAGGATATCAGAAAGAGGAAAACTAGAAGGTATTTGACATCAAGGAGGAGGAAGCCAAGAGTGATATCAAGAAGAGAGAACTAAAGGTATTTGACATCAAGGAGGAGGAAGCCATAGGTGATATCAAGAAGAGAGGAACTGAAATTATTTGACATCAAGGAGGAGGGGAAGCCATGAGTGAGATCGAAGAGAGGGTCTGAAGGTATTTTGACTAGAAAGAGAGGAACTAGAAGGTATTTGACATCAAGGAGGAGGGGCCATGAGTGATATCAAGAAGAGAGGAACTAAAGGTATTTGACATCAAGGAGGAGGGTCCATGGGGATATCAAGAAGAGAGAAACTAGAAGGTATTTGACATCAAGGAGGGGAAGCCATGAGGATATCAAGAAGAGAGGAACTAGAAGGTATTTGACATCAAGAGGAGGGAAGCCAAGGGTGATATCAAGAAGAGAGAACTGAAAGGTATTTATTATCAAGGAGGAGGGGAAGCCATGAGGATATCAAGAAGAGAGAAACTAGAAGGTGGCTGACATCAAGGAGGAGGGGCCAAGGAGTGATATCAAAGAGGAAACTAGAAGGTATTTTACATCAAGGAGGGGGAAGCCATGGAGTTGAGGTCAGAAGAGTGAACTAGAAGGTATTTGGACATCAAGGAGGAGGGGAAGCCAAGAAGAGAGGAACTGATGAGGAGGGAAGCTCAAGAAGAGAGGAACTAGAAGGTATTTGACATCAAGGAGGAGGGGAAGATAGGATATCAAGAAGAGGAAAACTAAAGGTGTTTGACATCAAGGAGGAGGGAAGCCATAGGTGATATCAAGAAGAGAAAACTAGAAGGTATTTGACATCAAGGAGGAGGGAAGCCAAGTGAGATATCAAGAAGAGAGGAACTAGAAGGTATTTGACATCAAGGAGGAGGGGAAGCCATGAGGATATCAAGAAGAGAGGAACTAGAAGGTATTTGACATCAAGGAGGAGGGGAAGCCATGGTGATATCAAGAAGAGTGTTAGAAGGTATTTGACGTCAAGGAGGAGGGGCCAAGGAGATATCAAGAAGAGAGAAACTAGAAGGTATTACATCAAGGAGGAGGGGAAGCCATGAGTGATATCAAGAAGAGTGAAACTAGAGGTATTTACATCAAGGAGGAGGGAAGCCATGAGTGATATCAAGAAGAGTGAAACTAGAAGGTATTTGACATCAAGGAGGAGGGAAGCCATGAGGATATCAAGAAGAGGAAACTAGAAGGTATTTGACATCAAGGAGGAGGGGAAGCCATGAGTGATATCAAGAAGAGAGGAACTAGAAGGTATTTGACATCAAGGAGGAAGCCATGAGTGATATCAAGAAGAGAGGAAACTAGAAGGTATTTGACATCATGAGGAGGGAAGCCATAGGTGATATCAAGAAGAGAGGAACTAGAAGGTATTTGACATCAAAAGGAGGGGAAGCCAAGGAGTGATATCAAGAAGAAGAGAGGAACTAGAAGGTTTTTACATCAAGGAGGAGGGAAATACATAGTGATATCAAGAAGAGGAAACTAGAAGGTATTTGACATCAAGGAGGAGGGGAAATATGAGTGATATCAAGAAGAGAGGAACTAGAAGGTATTTGACATCAAGGAGGAGGGAAGCCATAGGATATCAGAAGAGAGGAACTAGAAGGTATTTGACATCAAGGAGGAGGGGAAGCCATGAGTGATATCAAGAAGAGAGGAACTAGAAGGTATTTGACATCAAGGGAGGAGGGGCCATGAGTGATATCAAGAAGAGTGAAACTAGAAGGTATTTGATACCAAGGGAGGAGGGAAGCCATGAGTGATATCAAGAAGAGAGGAACTAGGAAGGCATTTGGACGTAGGAGGAGGGGTTATGAGTGATATCAAGAAGAGAGGAAAACTAGAAGGTATTTGACATAAGGAGGAGGGAGCCATAGTGATATCAAGAAGAGAGGAACTAAGAAAATTATTTGACATCAAGGAGGAGGAAGCCATGAGTGATATCAAGAAGAGAGGAACTAGAAGGTATTTGACATCAAGGAGGAGGAAGCCATGAGTGATATCAAGAAGAGAGGAAACTAGAAGGTATTTGACATCAAGGAGGAGGGGAAGCCATAAGTTGATATCAAGAAGAGAGGAACTAAAGGTATTTGACATCAAGGAGGAGGGGAAAAGTGGATATCAAGAAGAGGAAACTAGAAAATTGTTGTTGACATCAAGGAGAGGGGAAATAGCATTCAGGATATCAAGAAGAGTGAACTAGAAGTATTTGACATCAAGGAGGAGGAAGCCATGGTGATATCAAGAAATTGGAACTAGAAGGTATTTGTGACATCAAGGAGGAGGAAGCCTGAGTGATATCAAGAAGAGGAAACTAGAAGGTATTTGACATCAAGGAGGAGGGAAGCCATGAGTGATATCAAGAAGAGAGAACTAGAAGGCATTTGACATCAAGGAGGAGGGAAGCCACATGAGTGATATCAGAAAGAGTGAAACTAGAAGGTATTTGACATCAAGGAGGAGGGGAAGCCATGAGGATATCAAGAAGAGTGAAAAAAGAAGGTATTTGACATCAAGGAGGAGGGAAGCCAGAGTGATATCCAAGAAGAGAAACTAGAAGGTATTTGACATCAAGGAGGAGGGGAAGCCATGAGATATCAAGAAGAGAGGAACTAGAATATTTGACATCAAGGAGGAGGGAAGCCATGAGGATATCAAGAAGAGAGGAACTAAAGGTATTTGACATCAAGGAGGAGGGGAAGCCATGAGTGGATATCAAGAAGAGAGAACTAGAAAATTATTTGGACATCAAAAAGATAGAGGAAGCCATGAGTGATATCAAGAAGAGAGGAACTAGAAGGTATTTGACATCAAGAGGAGGGGAAGCCATGGGTGATATCAAGAAGAGAGGAACTAGAAGGTATTTGACATCAAGGAGGAAAGGCATAGGGATATGAAGAAGAGGAAACTAGAAGAAGGTATTTGACATCAAGGAGGAGGGGAAGCCATGAGTGATATCAAAGAAGAGTGAAACTAGAAGGTATTTGACATCAAGGGAAGAGAGTGATATCAAGAAGAGGAACTAGAAGGTATTTGATATCAAGGAGGAGGAAGCCAAGAAGGATATCAAGAGAGGAACTAGAAGGTATTTCTGACATCAAGGAGGAGGAAGACATGAGGATATCAAGAAGAGTGAAACTAGAAGGTATTTGACATCAAGGAGGAGGAAGCAAGAAGAGTGAAATTAGAAGGTATTTGACATCAAGGAGGAGGGGAATGATATCAAGAAGAGAGGAACTAGAAGGTATTTGACATCAAGGAGGAGGGGAAGCCATGAGGATATCAAGAAGAGAGAAACTAGAAGGTATTTGACATCAAGGAGGAGGAAGCCATGAGTGATATCAAGAAGAGTGGAACTAGAAAGGTATTTGACATCAAGGAGGAGGGAAGCCATGAGTGATATCAAGAAGAGGAAACTAGAAGGTATTTGACATCAAGGAGGAGGGGAAGCCATGACATCAAGAAGAGTGAAACTAGAAGGTATTTGACATCAAGGAGGAGGGAAGCCATGAGTGATATCAAGAAAGAGTGAAACTAGAAGGTATTTGACATCAAGGAGGAGGGGAATCAATGAGTGATATCAAGAAGAGGAAACTAGAAGGTATTTGACATCAAGGAGGAGGGGAAGCCATGGAGGATATCAAGAAGAGAGGAACTAGAAGGTATTTGACATCAAGGAGGAGGGAAGCCATGGTGATATCAAGAAGAGTGAAACTAGAAGGTATTTGACATCAAGGAGGAGGGGAAGCCATGGTGATATCAAGAAGAGTGAAACTAGGAAGGTATTTGACATCAAGGAGGAGGGAAGCCATGAGTGATATCAGAAGAGTGAAACTAGAAGGTATTGTGACATCAGGAGGAGGGGAAGCGAGGATATCAAGAAGAGTGAAACT